GCACAGGGAATAAGAAACATAAATGGTAGGTACAAAATAGACAGGGGAGGCTAAGAATAGTATAGGAAATGTAGAAGCCAAAGAACTTGTATGTATGAGCCATGGACATGAACTAAGGGGGAGGAATGCAGGTGGGAGGGGGTACAGAGTAGAAGGGAGTAAAGGGGGAAAACGGGACAACTGTAGTAGCATAATCAATAAAATATATTTAAAAGGGAAATACACACACACACACACACACACAATGTTTTGCCCTGGCTGATGTGGCTCAGTGGATTGAGTGCCAGCCTTTGAACTAAACGGTTACCAATTCGATTCCCAGTCAGGGCACATGCCTGAGTTGTGGGCCAGGTCCCCAGTAGGGAATGTGCGAGAGGTAACCACACATTGCTGTTTCTCTCCTTCTCTTTCTCCCTCCCTTCCCCTCTCTCTAAAAATAAATAAATAAATAATATTTTTAAGTATAATGTTTTTCTCATGACTGCATTTTCAAATCCTACTTTTCCTTCTGGATTGAGCTCATCTTATTTTCTGTATTAAATTTTGTTGTTAAATATTGGGAACATTTTTGGACTATAGAAAAGTGCAAAAGTGCAGAGAATAACAATTGTGTTCCATCAGATAGTTTTATTTAATTTTAAAAAAGTATTATTGATGGTGTTGAAGTAGCTTTTCTACCTAATCCCAACATAAGTCTCTTCCCCTCTCCCCAAAAGCTAGCTGTACCTTATAGCTGGGCTGTTAGGTTAGTTTTTGAATGTTTGTGCCCTTTTCTGGATCTTGGATTTTTTCAAGGAGTACAGTTCCAGCTCTCCAGTGTGTCCAAGCCCTGGCACCCCTTCCCCCATGAAAACATTAAAAGATCCCAAGGTAGAAAGGTGCTCTGGAGCTTCAGCTGGGTGCACCATTTTTACTGATAACCACTAGCCCTATTTTTCACTTCCCCAGCTCCCTCTGAATCCTCTAGCATTGAGCATTTGGTCCAGTTTCCAGTCACTTATTTTGTACCAGCTATATGGATAGAGGATGTATTATTGCCTAACGAGACTATAAAATTTTGAAGCACTATCATTCTCCTTTTAGACCAAACTGGGAGAAGACCCTTGTGAGTTGTTCCACTAGAGTAGTTGACACTTGTGAGACAATCTCTTTATCAGAGAAGGGTATACATAGAAGTGTGCCTCATTTTATGGCATAGATGATATGCAGCCATCCAACAGTTATTGATAACCTACTATGAATTAAACATTATAAAAGTATAAAAAATGCATAAAGATTTATAATGCATTATTAAAAAATCAAAAAATGAATGAGAAGCTATTACAACAGATACCACAAAATACAAAGAATCATAAGAGACTACTATGAACAATTATATGTCAACAAATTGGACAGCCTATAAGAAATGGATAAATTCCTAGAAACATACAATTTACTAAAACCAAATTATGAAGAAATAGAAAATTTGACCAGTCTGATTAATAGTAAGGAGATTGAATCAATAATCAAAAACCTCCTAACAAAGTCCAGGACCAGATGACTTCACTGGTAAATTCTACTAAACATTCAAAAAAAGAAAAAAAAAGAGTTAATACCAATTCTTCTCAAACTCTTCCAAGAAACAGAAGAGTAGGAAACTCTTTCAAACTCACTTTACAAGGCCAGAATTACCCTGGTATCAAAACCAGACAAGGATGTCACAAGAAAAGGAAATTATAGGTAAATATCCCTGATGAACACAGGTGCAAAAATCCTCAACAAAATATTAGCAAACTGAATTCAAAAATGCATTAAAAGGATGTTTTACCATGATCAAGTGGGATTTGTTACAGAGTTACAAAGATAGTTCAACATCTGCAAATTAGTCAATGTTATACACCACACTAACAAAGTTAAGAATAAAAATTATATGATCATATCTATAAATGTAGAAAAGGCATTTGACAAAATTCAACATTCATTTGTGATAAATACTCAATAAGGAGGGTGTAGAGGGAACATATCTCAGCATAACAAAGGTCATATATGACAAGCCCACAGCTAACATATTCAACAGTGAAAAGCTGAAAGCTTTTCTAAGATCAGGAACAAGGTAAGGATGTTCACTCTCTCCACTTTTATTCAACATAGTAAAGGAAGTCTTAGCCAGATCAATTAGGCAAGAAAAAGAAATTAAAAGCATCTGAATTGGAAAGGAAGTAAAACTGTCACTATTTGCAGGTGACATGATAGATATATATATAGAAAACCCTAAAGATGCCATCAAAAAACTGTTAGAACTAGGAAATTAATTCAGTAATGTTACAGGATACAAAATGAATACAAATAAATTTGTTGCATTCCTATACACTAATAATGAACTATCAGAAAGTGAAATTAAGGATGCAATCCCATTTACAGCTTCATCAAAAAGAATAAAATACCAGCCCTGCCTGGTGTAGCTCAGTGGATTGAGCGTGGGCTGGGAACCAAAGTGTCGCAGGTTCCATTCCCAGTCAGGCCACATACCTGGGTTGCAAGCCATGGCCCCCAGCAACCGCACATTGATGTTTCTCTCTCTCTCTGTTTCTCCCTCCCTTCCCTCTCTAAAGATAAATAAATAAAATCTTTTAAAAAATAAAAAATAATAAAAAATAATAATGAAATACCAAGGAATAAGTTTAACCAAAGAGGTAAAAGACATGTGTGCTGAAAACTACAAGACAGTAAATGGAAAGATATTTGGTGCTCATGAATTGGAAAAATGAATATTGTTAAAATGTCCACACTAACTAAAGAATCAACAGATTTAATGCAATATTTTTATAAAAATTCTAAAGACATTTTTCACAGAAATAGAACCAATAACCCCCAAAACTATATGGAACTACGAAAGACCCCAAGTAGCCAGTAATGTTGATAAAAAAAAAAAGAACAAAGCTGGAGGTAGCACACTCCCTGGCTTCAGATCCTATTACAAAGCTATAGTATTTAAAACAGCATGACATTGGCATAAAAACAGACACATAGGTCAATGGAACTGAATAGAGAACCCAGAAATATACCCACAGATAATTTATGGCAAAGGAGTCAAGAATATGTAATGGGTAAAGGACAGTGTTGGGAAAACTAGACAGCCACATATAAAAAAGTAAACTGGACCACTATCTTACACCATACATGAAAATTAACTGTAAATGGATTAAAGACTAGAATGCAAGCATAAAACTCCTAGAAGAAAACATATACGGTAAACTCTTTGACATAGGCCTTGGTGATGTTTTTTTTTAACCTGACACCAAAAGTTAAAGCAAAACAAAACCAAAAATAAGCAAGTGGGACTCCATTGAACTAAAAAGCATCTGCACAGGAAAATAAACCATTAACAAAATAAAAAGGCAACCTACTGAATAGGAGAAAATATTTGCAAATCATATATCTGATAAGATGTTAATATACAAAATACAAAGAACTCATACAACTCAGTAATGAAAAAGTCCAGTTTAAAAATGGATGGGAGATATGAATAGGCCTTTTTCCAAAGATTGCCAACAAGTACATGATCAGATGCTCAACATTATTAATTATCAGGGAATGCAAATCAAAACCATAATGGGATATCACCTCACACTTATTACAATGGCTATTATCAAAAAGACAAGACGAGGATGTGGAGAAAATGGAACTCTTGTGTACTGTTGGTGGGAAAGTACAAAAAATTGGTGCCACCACTATGGAAAACAATATAGAAGTTCCTCAAAAAATTAAAAACAGTATTATCATATGATCCAGGAATTCTACCTCTAGGTATTTAAAGAAAATGAAAAAAAAACCTAACTTGAAAAGGTGTATGCACCCCCCAATTCACCGCAGTATTACTTAAAATAACCAAGATATGGAAACACCCTAAGTGTCCATCGATGGAAGAATAAAGAAAATGTGATACACACACACAATAGAATGATATTCAACTACAAAAGAAAGATGAAATCTTGCCATCTGCACCAGTGTGGATGGACTTCAAGGGCATTCATTATGCAAGGTGAAATAAGTCAGAGAAATACAAATACCAAGTGATCTTTTATGTGAAGCCTAAAAAAGAAGAAAACCAAGCTCACAGATAGATACAGAGAACAGATTGGTGGTTGACAGAAGCAGGGGGTGGAGGATGGAAGAAATGGTCAAGGGGAGTAAAAATAAAATATTACCAAGTATGTATATGTTTGAAGCGTATAAAGACTTGTTTTCCTCATCTTACACAATATCTCAAGTGATTATGAGACCTTTTTGAAAAGAGATAGTTAACCAGTTTGTGATTTAAATGTAGTAATGGCACCCAGGACTTAAATTAAATCTGTATGATTAATTTCATGACTTGATTTATATTTTAGGAATTTTAAAATATTTAGTTTTTTTCCAAAACTACTTGAGAATTACGAGTGTTTGCCCAAACAATTGAATAAGAATTGTTAACCTTAGACTAAATTACCAGTACCATTTGTTTCTTTACCAGAGCTTGAAAATACATTACTGCACCTCATTCTTTGCCTTGCATTGGCACAGGATCACTATACAGAGAAACTGCTAAGTCTGGTGTTGTGGAACTTCCACAGCACCTTCCTGTCTGTGACTGTGTGTGAACACAAATTAAAGCTGTCCTTCAGCTTGGATTATGGAAATACACTTGGCCATGTGTTCCATTCCATCATCTGGACTTGAAATGAAGCTAAGTAAACCAACACACATCTTAGTGAAATTTCTTTGTAAACTGATCATTCATAAACCTTATTGATTATAACTAGACAAATTGCATTATTATACAGTGTACCATCTTTTTAACTAACACCATTTAAAATTTCACACAAAACATCCCTATAACATTATCTCTATAAAAAATGCAACAAAGCACCATGAGGGTAAAATTTACCCAAGTCAGAAATTGTAATGGTCAGTCATTAGTTGCAAACTTAATATCCAAACACTTAACTATAATTTGGATTTCTTTTTTCTTTATTTTCCAGACACTGCAAATGGATGTCAACAAGCTGAACATAACCTTGCTTCGAATATTCCGCCAGGGAGTGGCAGCAGCTTTGGGACTCCTTCCCCAGCAAGTGCACATCAACCGCCTCATTGTAAGATGCCTCCATTTCACGTTCTCAGACACGGGCTTTGATCTGCATGGGAGGATTCAGTAATAAAGAACAGCAACTAAAAGCACCCATGCCATAGCATCTATAGCATACTATAGTCCTATGGCCTTGAGCCCAATCTGGCACACCAGCGGTGTTTGTGAGGAAGCTCAATGGCCTTACCCCACAGTCATTCATTTACATGTTGTCAATGGCTGCTTTTGGGGTACAGTGGCAGCTGAGCCATTCTAACATTGTTTAGCTAAATCGAAGGTTAGGTCACTTGCTGCCTGGCCCTTTACAGAAAAAGCTTATCAATTCTCTCATAGTTCAAGGCTTAGTTCCCTGCTAGGTATGAATAACAGGGCACAAAATACTTGTCTTACCAACCTGACACCACACCCCAAACATTCTTTCTAATAGTGAAACCTCCTGTATCAGTTAAAGCCCTGCCCCCAGGCAGTATCTATGAAACTCGTTCAAATACAGCGGTAGGATGTAGGATACTGAATGGACAGGCAGAAGATTTTGATTAAAAATAAAGAAACACCAATCCTTGAGAACAGTGGTCCAAATGGAGAGCAAGAATAGATGGTCCTGAAGAGCCTAGGGAAAATCGAATAGGTGTGTGGGGTGGGGGTGAGGCATACCCAAAGGATTTTTTGCATAGAGTCCACTTTAGACCTATCAATCAATCAGTCACCTATATCCTCTCTTCCCTCTCTTTACTCAAGGTTTGGAAACCTTGATATCATCCAACTCCTTGTGCCCATCTGGACTTGAAGGTGGGCGTGAGCAAAGGCAGAGAAAGGCAAATTCAAAGCAGATGATTCTCTCTTTATAAAAAGCTAATTACCTAAGGTTCCTGTTAAAAAGGGACTTCGGAATCATCTTACAGATTTAAAATCGTCCCTAATCCCCACTGCAATGGGAACTCGAGCAAGCAGCACACGGCACGTTCTCCTTGCCTTAAATTGCTCTTCTCCAGGCTCAGGCTCAGCTTTCCACTAAATCAACATCTTCATTTCTGGCTCTGGAAAGAATTTGCTTTTTAATTTGCTTTAGGGTTTTTGGTTTGTTTGTTTGTTTGTTTGTTTGCTTTTCATTTTTTATGTGTGTGGATGGGTGAGTTGTTTTAGTCCCTATAATAACTTTATCCTGTAAACCGACTATTTAGGGGGACTAAATAAGCTTAAAAACCAAAGTTTTTAACTCAGTACCAGAGTAGAGGAAATACAGTACTTCCCAATATTCTAAAAGAGGGAAATAGGCTTTATATGCAAGGCATACCTTGCTTAAATGAGAAGTTTCCGGTACTATAGATGTCTTAGCTCTAGATTTAGATTTTTTATATACTTAGATATCTTAGATGTACTTTTATACATATTTAAATATTTAATTAAACACTACATATATTTATATGTATTTAATGAGCACAATCGCTCTTTGCAGGGATAGAAGGGAGGCTTGCCTCACCCAGGCAGGGATAGTCCTGCCCCGGGAGAATGTTAGTGGCATTTATACACACCTGTTTCTAAGAGTCGTTATCATAATGGTTGAGTTATGAGGATGCCCGAGACAGCGGAGCACAGGGATGAAGAGCATTTACTTTGGAGACAGCCAGAGCTGTACTCCCTCTCCAGAGTGGCCAAGTCTCAGCTGTATGACCTTAGGCAAGCTACTTATGTTTCTTCATTTGCAAAATTGAGAGAATAATAACACCCATGTGTGGGGTGGGGGTTGTTGAGCATGAAAGGAAATAACAGATTTAAGATACATAAGAGTGTGTCAAGCAAAAGAAGCAAAAGCAAACATTCTATTCCTGCTATTGTTGTTATTAGGTCATAACCTATTTAAATTATTGTAAACATGTTTGACATCAGGGTTATGCTATACTTAGTCATTGTCTGTTTTTTCCTACAAACATAGAATCGTTTTTTTTTCTGGATTGCTAGTGGTATTTTGATACTCCACTTTATACCTGACCACACCTCTGATAGCTTGCTTGCATTAAAAGAAAATTTTCTAGCATGAGAGAACTGCTTGTATCAAAAAGACGAACAATAATTCCCTTTCTAAGTATGTTATATAACTTGTAAAGAGAATCTATCAATGGCAGTGGCACTTTTGTGATGTGTTTTTATGAACATGTGTCCTGTCCACAATTTATGGTAGGAAGAAACCCTCTGTCCCCACTTCAGCTAATGAGGTAATACTGACAGGGAAGTTTCATGATATCACTGGGCAATGTATTCATTTCTACCCAAGGACAGACTTCTCAAATGTGACAATCGAGGTGAAGAACAGAATCAGGGAAGCAACTTCAAGGCTCATGTAGTGTCACCTTCCTTAGTGATCCCAGTCTTCACAGTAATACGAGTTATGAGAAAAATACATGAAGTGGAAATGTCTAATAATTGTATGATTGCATTAGGTTTTATTTAATTCATTTGATTTTAAAATGGTTCTCTAAACACAATTACTCAGGGAACATCTGAACAGTACATTTCAAAAATAATATGGAATGGAAAGTAAACCAGCATCCAATGAAATTATGTCTTGAAGTGTCTATAACTCAAAAAAAAAGCTACTTAAAGACTTCAGGCTTTGGGCTGGTATTATTAAGTGTATCAGAGAATAACTATTAAATGTAATCTCTTAAGATGCCTTTTAGGATTCTGGGAGTTTGGTTTTCTTTAATGTTTCTAGAAAAAGGTAAAAATATTTCCCAAGGTTGTTTAAAATGTCTCTTAACACAGACAAATAATCTACTTTTCCTAGGGAAAGAAGAACAGTGTGGAACTGTTTGTGTCTCCCATCACCCGAAAAGGAGGCGTTTCTGAGGCTCTGCCATCTGAGGAAGTGCTGCGCTCACTTAACATCAATGTTTTGCATCAGAGCTTATCCCAGTTTGGAATCACAGATGTGTCCCCTGAGGTATGTTGTTGCATGGAAGGTTTCATCTGAAAGTTTGCACAGTTAGTGTGACACGGTAACCCAGCCTCGAGAGGCTTTGCTACTAATGCTGTTTGTTTATGTTATTTGATAACAAAAAATCTCCCTAAGTATCAGAATTCTCTGATCATCACCTCATATATGTTTACTCCTTAAGGAAATTCATTTTCTTGTCAAAATTTCAATTTTTGACACTTTCTTCTTCAAACCTTTATGGCCCTGTAATGTATTTTGACTTCCCAGTACACTGTCTAGGATAAAGGCCATTTAGATATCTTTGCCAGTTTGGTTATTTCAGACTGAAATGCCGAAAACACACACACACACTCAGACCTTTCTTCTGCAACAGGTGCACCTCTCCTGGCTGCCTTCATTGAGAAAATAGTCACCAGATAGTCACTTGTCTCCAAAACCTTGGAATTAATTTGAAATGTTGTTTTTCTTTTGCTGAGGATCCCAGTCTTAAGAACTATGGGTGTTTTCTTCGTAGTGTTTTCCAAGTTTGATGCCATTTAAATTTCCATTACCAACCCTGCCGTTCTCACTCCTGGATGTATTCTGTCCCTTTTCTAAGATTTCCATTCCACCCCACTCTAAGAGACCCAATAGAATGACCATCATCGTGTACATATATAACTAAATTCACAGGACCACAGAATCAGAGCTTGAGGGAACATATATGAGCATGTTATAGGTACAGAAGTAAGGCCCACAGAAATGGCATGCTGCCATCAAGGTGACAAAGCACGTGAGGTTTGAAGCAACATTTAGAATCTAGACATCTTGAGTCTTTAGGCTATTCCAGTTTTCAGTAAAACATATTTCCCTCTTTTCAGCAAATGTCACAGGTCTGGGTCCTTCACAGACTGACTGGCACACATTTTACCCAGGACAATTCTTTAAAATTTAAAAACACCATTGGATTAATTTATGCTACTTCCTGTGAGCTTTCCATGACTTATATAAGCCTTCTTTCCTGTTCTGTATTCTGAATTTAAATGCCATTCTGAATGCTTTAGGAATATGGCAGCTTAGTGAGTCATCAAAATTTGTGAGAAGCTCATCATATCAAAAAAAAAAGGCATTAAAATCAAATACACATTTGGGGGTCCTCCAACACACCCTAGCCCAGTGAAAATTAAGAGCTTAGCCTGACTGCTTATCACAGAATTATTAGCCCACAAGACCCCAGGTCTGTACTGTAACAATGAAAGTGTATTTGATGGTCAAAATGTAATATTTTCTTCTGAAATTGTGGGAATTTAAGAAATATTATATTGCATGGGACTAAAAAGTATTTTAATTTTATCAAGAGCAGATTAATTGAGCGAGCCTTTTGTTCAGGCACTTCTTTTTTTAATTTTATTTTAATCGTTGTTCAAGTACAGTTTTCTGTCCTTTACTCCCATCCCAGCCCACCCCCCATCCCTCCTCACCTCCCTCTCATTTCCACCCCCCCCTCCTAGTTTTTGTCCATGTGTCCTTTATACTTGTTCCTGTAAACCCTTCCCCTTATCCCCTGAAATTCCTCCCCTCTCCCCTCTGGTCACTGGGCTCTTCTAAAAGCGGCCCAGCATCACCCTGTGACCTGAAGCTGTAACTGCAGAAACAGGAGGAAGCGCCCTCGTTGGCAGCTCCCAGCACACACGGTCCAAAGGGGCACACAGAAGCATTTGAGCAGAGTTGTTTCACCTGGGAATCATGTTGTGTGAGCTTCACCACTTCTGTATTCATCTCTGTGGTTAGTGTGTGATGACAGCTTAGGCCTCAGCCCTTTCTTTCACGTTTTCATCTAAATTATAGCTCTGCTATGGGAGCATGTTTATTAAGAGAAAAAAATGAATATTGTTATTTTGGTTTTTCGTGCTTTACAAAGATAATAGAACATCGTGAATCATGTCTCAAAGCATCTATTCCTAAACTTATATTAACTACTTTCAGGGAAAGATGTGTTTTTGTTGTTGCCATTTCTTTATTTGCTTGATTTTTTAAAATCAGAAATAACTCTTGGGAAGGAAAGAAAAATACCAAATAGAGAATTACTTTTGTTTATTATGTGTTCTCATTTTGAATCCACACTTTAGGGGAGAAAAAGACATTTTTGAAATCTTCATCTGAGCACACGTTCGTTGATTTGAGAGAGAGACAGAGAAAAACGTGGATTGGCTGTCTCTTTTGCATGCCCTATTGGGGGTCAGACCCTCAGCCTTCGGTGCCTGGGACGGTGCTTTAACCAACTGAGCTACCCAGCCAGGGCAAAGAGTTTTTAAAAAACAATTTTTATGTAATACCTAGGACACTGTAGGGACACACAAATATTATTTTATTATAAGATACTCATAAAGATAAAACTAGACTTCTTGCTTAATAAGTCAAATCACAGGGCAATAAAATTAAATTCATTATTTTAGTTTCTATTTTTAAATGTTTTTTATAAAATTAAATGCCTACTGAAGCAGTAAGCCCTGCAGTCACATTGCATGCAAAGTGGGGTTTGATGGCTGTGTTCGGTGGCACAGGACCCCAGTTTCGCAGCTCTTACACTTAGGAGGAGGAAGTTCCCTTCTCGAAATTACAGGCCAGTGTGTCAACTGATCCTTCCATGGAATATTTACAAAGATAAAATGTCACACCAAAAAACACAAACTCTAGTCCTGGAGTTTGGTGACTGTTCCCTCAGACCAGGAACGTTAGCCAGCAGTCTAAGGAATTACCATCCCGGCCAGACAGTGCTGAGGGGGGTGCAGGGTTGACACACGTCAGATCGTCCTGACTTGCGGGTCGCACAGTGGAAGTGTGGCATCCATCACACAAAACCATGTGGCCGCAGGCTTCGTCCCATTTATCTGCGTAAGTCAGTTAATGGACCACCTAATGTAGGATATTTCTACTTCATTCTTATTATGTGTTCCTCATCTCTCCTAGAGAGATATATCTCCTAAAGCCTCTATATCATATCTCCTAGCATTTGGGAATTTCTCCCACCCTCCGGGATCAGAATTGGTTTAAGAAAAAAGAAAAGGGAACACTACAGTACATCAAATTATTACACAGTATATAAAGAAGCCATTGTTATTGATACAGTGATACAGGAAACTGCCCAAATTTTAAATCATAAAACAAAACAGAACCCAAGAACGTTCACTGAAACAAAGTTAACAGGCAAAGCGATGTAGCTATGAAATAAGATGCAAAGATGATACAGCAGCATTTGCTTGGCCCAGCCATGGAGTCTCTGAACTATTGAACCCTTGGTCCCCTAACAAAAATATAAAAGGCATCACTCTAACCTTATGCAGAAGTTAGATGGGAGAGTCCTATGAATTATAATCTTTTGATTTGTGGAATCTTAACTACAAACTTTTCCATTTATTACCCTGCCCTTATCAAGTTTTTTAGATCTCTGTACAAATATAGTAGTGCTCAGCAGGAATAGCATGACTCAGAAGGAAATCTATTTACCAAGAAAGTGCAGTGACTAAGTTCTGGGAGTACAAAACATGTATCTTTCTAACTGGGAGTGGGAGAGGGGGGGTGGGAGGTTAATCCTTCCATCATCATTGCTTTGGTTAAAAGAGAAACAAAACAGTTGTCTTAAGCAGAAAGGAACATGTTGATATTCCAGGAGGTGTAGAACTATAGCAAGAAAAGAAAGAAATGAACCAGATCAGGTTAGGAACATAAAATCTCTTTCCACCCACCTAACCACCCCTTTTTATCCAGATTTTACATTAAGTAAAGCTCAGATCCTCGTACTTAAATTTGACAAGTTTATGCTGCCTACTTGAAGGCTTAACTTTAACTAGTTTGCTTTTATAGCAAGCAATAGATGCCATTTAGTTGCCTACAAAAATTTCATTTCCTGGTTTCTTGAAGAATTTTCTGTTTTATTAGTTTTCAGCTATGTTTATGGATGCACCAGAATAAAATATGATCTGGATGAGGTCAAATAGTAAAAGACAAGTTGTCACTTGAAGCCAAGATTTCCTTTCCAGGAAGATACTTGTTTTCTAACCCTGACTGATATGGCATAGTTGGTTGGGCACCATACTGCAAAGAGAAGTTTCGCTGGTTCAATTCCCAGTGAGGACACACGCCTGGGTTGAGGGTTTGGTCCCTGGTCCAGGCATGTACAGGAGGCAACAGATCCAGATCCATGTTTCTCTCCCTCTTTCGCTCTCCCTTCCCCTCTCTCTAAAAATAAATAAATAAAATCTTTTGTTTAAGATAATTGGTCTCTAATCATCTCATGAGGCAAGTATTTTCAGTTCTCCATCCACTTACCACTTACGTACTTTCAAAATATATCTCAGAATCATTCCTTATATCCAGGAATTTGTCTGTGTCTTAGAAAGTAGGCAGGATAGCATAGTGAGCATATCAATGTTTGACAAGCAAAAGGAATAGAGACTCAACAGTTTCAAGCAGCCAAAGGCTCTCTCAAATTGTTGTCAATCACGTTTTAACTCCAGTAACAGATCCTTTCCGTTCTGCCCTACTCAGTTCCCCACCAAGACTCACTTGAGTTGCAGGATAAAAGTTTTCATAAAATGTTTTCCAAGGCAAATATTTCTTTTTATCTAATTCACAAATGGTGAATGTATTCTATTAGTATTTAAAGGCTCAAAAATGATTGGCAGTGATTTCTAAGTTCAGACACAAGGACAGGTTTTATTCAAGGCTTGCTTCCTTTCCTCCTCCTCCTCTTCCTCCTCCTTTCTTCTTCTTTGAGACAATTACTATTTATTGCTCATGATTCTTTGGGTTGACCAGGCTCAGCTAGGCTGTTCTTCCATCCCACAGAGTATAGGCTGAAGTCACCCCAGTGATTACATTTGCCACTGAAATGTTCGAAATGCTCTCCTATTTCCCAGGACCTTTCTCCAAGTGGCTTTCATCATTCAATATTTTGTGGTTCGCAGCTTTCTTACTCATTGGAGACAGCATCCAAGGACAGGCACACTCTCACAGAAGCGGTGGGAGGCAGCCTTTAACAACAAGCAAACACTGGACTTGGTTTAGCCTTTATATGTTTTGCTTTTTGTGGACCACTTGATTTCAAGTTAAAGTTTCTTTAACTACAAGTCTATAAATTTCACTGAGTCATAAAACAAATGGCATTCTAAGACCCGACTTAGTAGAAATGCTTTTTTTAAAAGAAGAATGGGTTAAATAAAATTAAGCCACTCATTCACATTTTATTTATGCTGCTTCTCCACCCCTAAAGTAGTGAACAAAAAATTAAGTATAAATAAAAATCAAAATAACTATTTCACCTTTTATTACCAAGCAATTCTGTACTTTTCAGTGTTTCCTGATACTTAAAGAAAATGTAATATTCTAACAATTTATGTAGCTGAGGTGGTATTGTAATCAGATTTTGACAAATAAGAAAGCATTTTTAAAAGATTTGATAAAAGAGGAAAAAAAGGAGGAAATGATCTCAACAGTGTTGCTCTGTTTACTAACTCATCAGGAGATTTTGTTTGCACCTGTTTCACTTGTGTTGTGAAGATAAGGGCTGTGTTATAGCATGTAAACCAGGGTGTTGTGGTGGTGGGTGGAAGGGGACTCTAAACAATAAAGAAAGCTTCAGAAGCAATTTCCTCATCACAGGAAAGAACAGAACTCTCTTACCTATGAACCAGGTCATTTCCAAAGAGACTGCAAGGGACAGGGACATGTACGGAGCCTTGGACCTGATAAGCCATGAGGGCAGGCTTCCTCCCGTACAGGAGATTAAACAACCTCCTCGTGTCTAAGGGCAGCAGTCCCTCGTCTTAGAACAGTTTGAGAAGCAGCTCTGACAGTGTGGAATGTAGGTGTGTTCTACTACACTGAATGGAATAAAGCTAAAAATATGTTTAGTGTCTGATAAGAACAACAGTCTCCTCAAGCTCTCCTTTAACGTCAGACTTTCTGTTTTGCTTTTAAAGAAAAATGTTTTACAAGGGCAGCATGAAGCGGACAAAATCTGGAGCAAAGAAGGATTTTATGCTGTTGTCATATTTCTCAGCATCTTTGTTATTATAGTAACGTGTCTGATGGTAAGTTTGCTTCTTTATATATTTTATCTTTTGCTGAGCCCACTGCTTAATATTACTGGATACATTTGCCATTCAAATGAATGTTGAAAAGACTGGGAACAGAAGTAAGACTATGATGCTGTTAAACTGGGGGATTTCGTGTCTGACAGCGGAGTGATAGCTAAAGGAAAACCTACGGAATTCTGAATTCTGACCTGCAGAATATAGCTGGAGCTGCAGTGAGACTTTTAGTGACTTGATCAGCCCTGAGAATGAAGTTTTAGAAAATGATTCCCAGAGCTCACTAAAGCCTCACAGTCATTAAAGTCTCATGGGCACACTTTGGGCTTACTTTATTTGTTCATTTATATCATTTTTATTGAACTCATGGAAATTTTTTTAAAATAAATATGTCTAATGGGCAAGATTACTTCTTAAAAAATGGTTGATTTACTTATTTTTAAGGGCTTGGAAAGCATTTTATGAAATTCCAGGCATGGAAAAAAAATGATTATAGACTCAAAGCTGTATAATTCACTACCAACCAATTTTTTAGGTGAATGAATACTGTAAAAATATAACTGCAAATAGCTCTGTAAACTACAAATTATGAGTATGAAACCTTTAAAAGTATATTTCTAATTTAGAAAAATAGAACCCAAAGTAAACCTAAATACACTAAAGTGCACAGTGCTCTTTGATATTGAATGAGTTAACAGTTGCCTTTCAAATAGAAAACAAAAAATTGTTATTCTTTTAAAAATTCCGTGATTGTAACTTAAAATATTTGAAGTTTACAAATGGGTGTTAACAACTTTTTCCTGTGTGCTGCATTCTTTTTAATTTTACACATTTTTAAAGACATGCACACCTCAGTTTTCAAATGCCCTGACCAAGACCTCATGCTATTTGTTCTTCCTGCAATCAGTGGTGTGGCTAAGTGTCTCATTGGATCTCATTCATTCATTTGTGCTTCCCATGCCGGGCAGTGGTTTATGTTAGACATGTTAGGGCTGTTGGAAAGACAGAGGCTGAGTAAGTCGAAGGATATGAAACAATTAAGGCCTGGCACAGGGTGATGATAAGAATATTTTCTCGACCCTGGACACAGGAAGCAGTGACAATGTCCCAAAGCTTCTTCCCTCCTAACAAATTCAGAGGCATCTCTGTGGGCCAGGCATTAAAGAAGATTTCTAAAAATTGTGACATAATAAACAAAAGAATCATTTAAGAATTGAGTGTGAAAATGAATTTTTATGTATTAAGTGGTACAGGTTAAGAAAAAATAAATTTAATGAGAGAACGTTGGAGGTTATGGAAATTGTGGCAGAGACTTCTAGGTGTTGGCTAGTGTTTTAGGTGGTGTGCTCCCTTGTTATGGTTAATTGCACTTTAATATATCTGGTTCTTCATTTCTTTTATTCAAGAAATCTCAAGTGCTGTGCTCTCTCTTGTCAGTCACAATTAGGGTGCTTTTCTGCTTCACCGGTAAAAAAGATGTGAGGACAGGAAGATAGAGAGGGTTAAGGAGTGATGAAATGGAAATTGTTCAGGAGGAAATGGTAAGATTCAGAAGAGCAAAGGCAAGGTTAAAAGGGGGGAGTGGGGAAGCAGATTCATGAGCAGCCTGTGAGTGCTGGAGGGTAGGGGGACGCAGAGCAGAGCTTGCTATCAACATGGAAGATGTGTTCCAGATTCTGCATTTCCAACCCAGAGAGCACCCGTGACTCTGAAGTGACTGGAGAAGTCTCTACCTGAGATATTGGTCTCAGGTGACAAAAGGTCTTCTAGCAAACACACCCTCAACCACTTGGGCCTGGGAAACAACTCTGCTTTGCCCAGTGTGTGCAAAGCACCAGTGCAAAAGTCAGAGACCTGCATGGGTCTGCTCCAAAGTAACCAGAGCAAATCAAAAAAAGAATAATTCAGAGGTCTAGACAGCTGCACTCTCCTGGGTTGGTACGTAGATTCATCCATCCATTTAACCCACACATCCCTTCAGAGGACCTACAGAGGGCCTGTTGTTGGCAATGTGGGTGAAGGAAAGAGTAAGGCCAGTAAGGCCCCTGTTCTCATGAGGCTTATACACTATAGAGGGACATGGGTAATCATCAATATTTTAAAAAACAAAATAATGAACATATGGTATGATTCCAAAGGTATGACATTCTGGAAAAGGCAAATCTGTAGGGACAGTAAAAAGTTCAGTGGTTGCCAGAGCTGGGTGGGGGCGGGCGAGTGAGGCGGAGTGGGGTGAAGAGGGTGTGCGGGTTTTTAGTTCAGTGAAACTGTTCTGTATGACACTCTAACGTGAATACAAGGGTGGGCAAAGGTAGTTTTACAGTTGTGAGTACATGAAACAAAATTTATTCTATCATTATTCATGTATTGATTATTGTCTTATTTTTTATTATTATTAACCTACTTTTGCCAAGCCCTGCATATGACATTTATACATTTGTCAAAACCCATAGAATGTACAACACTCTGACTGGCCATAATCTAGACTATAGGCTTCAGTTAATTCTATCAATATTGGCTCAGCAATTATAACAAAGGTACCACACTAATGCAAGCAAGATGTTAAAGATAGGGGAAATCGTTAAGGGAGGTTGGGGAGAAGGGGTAAAAGGAACTCTGTTCTCTGCTCAATTTCTCTGTAAACCTAAAACTGTTCTTTAAAAATTAAGTTTATTATTATTTTTAAAAATCTCAGATAGTGTTAAGTGCCATGAAGAGATAACATAATAGTGAGTGAGGGGAGCAAAGCCATCTGAGACACGAAAATGTGGGAGAAGGGCCTCCCAGGCAGAGGGGATTGGTGGGAACAGCTGAGGTGGGATAAGCATAGCCTGTTTGGAGTCAAGAAGAGTGGAACCCGTGTGCTTTAAGCAGAGCTTTGATGTGTGAATACAGAAGATCAAGTTCTCTGCTGGGGCAGCGTGCGGGAGCAAGAGGATTCTGGAGGCTATTTTAGCTCGACGAGAAAAATGATGGTGGCCCTGAGTGGGGGGTGGTGGTGGAGATGGGGAAACGGGCAGGACCAGAATTTATTTGTAGGTGGAACTGGCATGACTTTGCTGTGTACTGATTCTCAGGGGAAAGGAAAGAAAAAGGATGATGGATGACCTCTGCCTGGGTCATCTGGCCACCTAGCTGGGCGATGGTGCTCCCACCTCCTGGGAGAGGTGCGTGCAGCTGGGGTGGAGAAGCGAGAGAGGCAGTGCTTCCAAGTTGTCTCCCACTAGTTCTTGAAATGAAAGAAAGTAGTAGAATGACATATTTTAAACACCATCTTTGATTTTACTATGAAAGAGTCACTTGAAAAACTAACAGAGGAACAAGCCATCAGTACAAAGAAAGGAGTTAATATTGAGAGAAAAGTAAAACCTACCTAACAAACAGGATTAAGATAACTTTAAGTTTATCTGATGCGGTGTAACCACTGACAAGTCAACAATTCACATTTCAGGGCACGCCAAGTGCGATTCTCTAAAATAAGCTGATCTCTGTCAATGTCCCCGTGTTTTTGATAATGATCTTGATTTAAAGCTAAATTTTTACTTAGATCTCTCAGTAAGAGTTATACTATCACTTTTGTGATTCTTAAATGCATATACTCTAATTTATTTTCTCATAATTTTGTTAATTCTGTGGCAACAGAAAAGATGTAACTCAGAATTTTTCTGGGGCACTGATTATACTTATGAAAGGTCAAGTACCATTATTGGCCTCCAGCCTTCCTACAGGCCACAGAAATGAAAAATATGTGTTTTTATATTGAAGTTATGTAGGTAAATTGCTGTCATGGAGGATTTCGTGCACTACATAACAATAACATAAGGCTTGGCAAAATGTTTGAAATGCAGCATATTGTTTACTTTTCTTAAAATAAAAATGTGTACATTGCCAGGCGTAAAATTAGACATGTATGACATTTCAAATGTGTGACTTATTTAGCACCTTTCAAATGTGAATGTACAGTGGGTGGAGCCACAAATAGACAATTTTCTAAGAAAAAATGTGTGGGCAACTTCCAGCCCATTCAGAATTAGTTCTTAAACTTGAATATGTAATGGAAAGAAGAGCATGTGTCATCTGATTTAGACCCTCAGAGGTACTTAGAGGTTCAGCAACAAGTACAGAGGCATTTGTGACATGTACGTAGAGATACCTACTGTCCAGATTGCTTCTGGAAAGCACAGAAAACACATTTTTAAAAAGACAGTTGTTTGGGTCGGTAAAAGCTCTGACATGTTAGACCCACAGAAGAACCACTCACAGGTCAGACAAAGAGTTTCTCTAGTCATAGCCTTGTTAGCTGAGGCAGGAAGTCATAGGTCACACTGCCCGCTACAGCCTGAGCATCACTCAGTAAAAACTGGCAAAGGTGGGCATAAATAACCACACTTTTCTAATTTTTATGTATAATCTCTAGAGACTGAGAGAAATTGGATTAGGCTCCTAGGTGGAATTATTTGGGACAGAACCGTTTTCCAATGTAGGTATATGTCTACACTAATTTTCAATATTTTTCTGGATTAATAAAAATTATTTAGGTAAGAATATAATCTTCTTACTAGGAAGAAAAATAATAGTAGCAATAAGAATTTGTTTCTTGTATGTATTGCATACTTACTGGTACTAAATTTACTGCCTGGTATTAAACATCTAATGTATTTTTAATCCACATTATTGAGATACAATTAACATACAAAAAACTGTACATATTTGATGTACACAACTTGATGAGTGTGGAGATAAGTACACACCCATGAAAACATCACCACAATCTATGCCATAAACATATCCATCACCTCCAAATTTCCTCCACTCTATTTATTATTATTTTGTGTGTCATAAGAACACTTAACATAAGATCTACCCTCTTAACAAACTTTTTAAATATGTAATACAGTGTTGTTATCTATAGGCTCTATGCAGAAACACTTAGTGTACACGAGTTCTCTAATTTGACTGATGAGAAAACCCCAGCTCAGAGCAGATAAGCGACTTGACAA